AGGTTTATTTGTTTTTAACTTATAAAGTTTTAAAGTCATGTGACATTAGTGCGGTTTATAGATGATAGCCACCATAGTAACTTTTATTTGAGCTTAAATAAATAATATAAATTAATTTTTATGTAAATTTTATAGTACGCTAAATGCATAATGAGACTTCCCTCAAGTGTATGGCGTTACACGACATCGGCGCCTCATTTTTCGTGTTACGGAGTTTCGTGATGACGGAATTTCCAAGTGGAGGAACGTCTCTAAGTGCCCATCCATTGGGACTAGACAATGGTGTGCATTTAGAGAAATTGGTTAATATCAATTTATTATTGGATTAATTAAAATATCGACTTATGGTAGTTTGCTTCATTTGACCACTTTTTTCCCACTAACAAATCTTTCAAGATTGTTTAACAATCTTACAAGTTTACCTGTACATTTTCTAAGCACTACTGGCAACTAATAATTGTAATCTCAGTGCTATCATACATTTCTTCGACATTACCCTCATCAATGTCTTTTTTAAACATCTCAGCGATTTCTCTAAGATTACTTTGTCAAGTACACTTTTTTACATAGAACAATATTTTTTTGAAAGTTATATAATAAAAACTACACCATAAAAATGTCTAAAAAAAAGCAATTTTGCTCATTGCTTCAACACATCCTCTTATGACTTTTTAGTATTAGTATTAGTATTGCTTGCAAAAATGTTTACATAAAATGCCTGCGAGTCCAAGTCTTTGAAGTAAAGTATGCTTTCTCTCAATTATGGTCACAACTTTGTAGAATCGTCTTTCAGATTTTATGTCTAACTTTACGACTTTTAAACTTAAACACCAGTATATTAAAATTAATACTATTAGCCCACCTCTACTTTTGTAGTACAAAAAACTTTTAAATTATAATTCTACAACGCATCCGCCTCCCCCAAAAGATAAACGAACAAATAAAAAATGACAAATTAACAACGTTGTTCTATACTTCTGCAGAGTAAACATGAATATATATGCAATTTGATAATTTTGTTAGTGGTATTACGGTCTTAATTGAGAAACTCGAACGAGTTGAAAGAAATTCTTTGTTCGTTCATACGTGGCACAGCGCAAATTGGGAATTGGATTGGGACGCGTAGGAAAGGTCATACACTGACGGTAAGATAATGGTAAGTAATATGAATACAAAAAACGATAGTTCAAAAAAAATTTTCTATATCAAGAGTTGATTAATAAACTTGTTGTGATGAGTGAATAGATTGTCCAATGTGATAAGTAGATAGGTAGGTATCCATACCGAGACATTCATACCACTTTGAAGTGAAAATCGATGTCAGATGTATGCAGTGTAAAACGTAAATGGTTAAACTCTAACGGACGACATAATCGCTTGCTACGCTATTTCATTGTCAATGGAGGTCGGGCTGTCATGCTACAGCACTGATTGTAACCAATAAAGTTGAGAGAATTGGATTGGCTATATTGTTTACATGTAGAAATAAAGACATCGCTGTATGAGTCGAATTACAATGTCTTTTTATATCTTGTCGTTACCGTCTCAGTTTCAATACAATAGCCTAGCGGTACCATACCACAAGCTAATTTCATTCGGACATAATCTATTTCTCTATCCCTGAATCTTCTATAACTCAAAGTTCTTTACTAATCCTCCTAGACTTCCTAAATCTTAGTTAAATTATCTTCAGTCCTATGTATTGATTTTGATAGTCAAATTCGGCAGTCAAGCCAGTCCGAATATTGTACAATTCTGTTCGCGCGTCAAACAGTCAAAAATTATGATGCCGCGTTGGTGTTGCGAGAAGGGATAGGGAAAGCTCTCGAGACACATCTTCCGATCGCATTGTCTCTTGTGATCATGTAGATTATGCGAAATTTGACGGACTGGTTCGTAATGTATCTCCTGAACTTGATGCATCCAGAAACCATTCTTCATGATTATTCACCATTGAAATTAGCCGTTTCCGTTAGGTCATTGTAATTCGTTTATCAGCTCCTCGGTAACGATATTTAAGTAAAAAATCGAACATCAGATTAGATAAGCACGGAGGGTCGGTTGTGGAGATATGTGAAGGTAAAAGATCCAAGCCGAATGTAGTATACATATTTTTGATATTGCCTTGATGCGAAATTTTTTGTGGGCGCGTGCATGCTGAACGATTGCATATGTAATGAATTTGTAATTACTTGCACGCTTTCCCTTTCTAATCAGTAAAATAGTGAAAGAAAAAACAACACAGAAACATACAGCTTGTATGGGCTTACCTTTCAGTCTTAATCTTTTTACTTAAATATTCCTCTTGATTCTGCAGCATAACCGTTAGCCCTCGTGATGTATCCGAGCTTTATAAAATGCGAATTACCCTCAAGGCGTCTATCTTTTGAATACGAAATGAATGTTAATGGAGATAATTGGTAGAGAAGTTTTTAAAGTTTATCAAGGGGACAAGAGTAGAGGAGATGAAGATAGGCAACACGAGGACAGGCTATTCCAATAATCAAAAGGTGATAAGTTGACAATCGTGATATACTTACATAATCTGCATATAATGCGTTCGAGGCGAGGCAAATTTGGCCGATAAAATAATTGGAGGGGAAAAAATTGGGCAACTAAAGATTTATTGGAGTAACCAAGCCGTATAGTATGTCGCGACTTAAACAATTTGTCGGGGATTTTTGTGCTTCTGATTTAATATTAATATTAACCGTAAGGACATAATCATCCAATCGGAAACCTTTATTCGAATATTGCTATGTATTATTAATCAATATTTACTTTTCTTATCCGTCCCCCTACCATATACCATTGTTCTTGTTCATCTCAGCGCACTTTTTTTTAATGATGGCGGTTATTTATTGGCAATATTAATACGTGGGAAGAGATACATGAATAAGAAATAGAAGGATGTCTACTGTGTAAAAAAAGACAAAATGAACACCGTAAGTTATCCCGTCCTGCATTATCACCAATATCTATAAGCTGAACTAAAATAACAAAGAAACCACCATTAACCAATCCGCTATGTGCGTTCATGTTGTGATGGTGACCACCATGTTTGTCACCAGAGAGTAATCAATCCATTGGATATAATTACTCCACGATTCTAAGGCTTCTTCATTTTCTTCTTTGCCGTGGACCGCAACAAAAAGCTTTGCCCATTTCTTCAACATTAGAATTCCCCTCACTGAACCACCATTTTCTTCTTTGCGTACTGCACGTAGTACGGCAGCAAGCCGGCAACAGCATATTTGGAACTGTTGCTGGGCGACCATATGTTGGAAGTGGATACACCCAGCAACAGGTTAAATGCTTCGTTCACTTTTTCGCCGACATGTTGAAAGCTCCGCCGCATTTCTTCTTTTCCTCGACCGTGAGGAAAAAGGCTTCTTCACCACTCAGTTTTAAATGTCCTGCTGAGTGGGATATTTCCGTACGTTGGGGGCCCTTGGGCAACTTTACAGATAGGTAGGTGGTCAAAGAGAGGACGGTAATAATTTATTATAAAGAGACGCATAATAATAATGCATTGGTGTAGGAAAATGTCTTTAGATGGGGGACATGTTTTGTCCGTGTTGTTATTATGTTGCGTAGGAGACATGTTTGTGAGGGACGAGGATAGCATAGAAGCCAAAGGTGTGGGCATCATTGATTGCTGCGTACTTATATTGTTACACATGCTAACAATGCCTGTAATAAATATATAATTTTAATGTACTCATTTCAATTGATAAGGGATAATCTAAGGGACTAACTATTAAGGACTAGTTCATTCAACGTCTAACTTGTGTTCGGTAGGCCTATTACATATGAAGGAATTAATCCATCGTGCAGAAATTTATCTCCCCTTTGCCAACCTCCAACCATTCGTAGTCATGTTGACCGGGCCTATTACATATGAAGGAACTATCCATCGTGCAGGAATTTACCTCCCCTTTGCCAACCTCCAGCCATTCGTAGTCATGTTGACCGTGGACATCTTTCCTATCGTAGCACAGCTGCTCCTTTTCCATAAACGTCTACCAAGGGATACAAACGGCTACTGGAATTCAATCATTGACAAAGATACCGTCCAAAACAATCTATCGAAACCTAAAAGAGATCAAAGAAACTGGTGATGTGGGGCATAAAGGTGGTAACGGTCGTATTAAAAAAATAACGACTAATGCCTCTCGTGCAATTGGCCAGCATATTAGAAAATCATAAAAATGAAACAGCATTTCAATTGTTTCATAACATGATAAAGCATTGGTATAAAAACGTAAAATATTCGCGTGGAGTGGTTTCTGTATAAAAGGTAATAGACAGAAAATATTACACAGAAATGGTAGAACAGCATATTCCGGAAATAAAAAACATGTTAAAAGGCAATTGGAGATGATGATGATATAGATAGTGGTTGGGATTATGATAATGGTTGGGGCAATGATGGTAATTGGAGTGATAATTTGTTAAATGAAAGAAAAAAAGTTGAATTGGTTTGGTCAAATAATGCATATTTAGAGAGAAAAAAACGTGGACCTTACCTTACAGGAAAAACAAAAAAATCAACCTATTTTGACAAATATGGACCCAGTGGCTCATTCAAGGTGAGTAAAGCAGAGATGTTTTAGGATTATGGTGGGCATGAGGAGTGATTCCATGGTGACAATTGTATCGAGACCCAACAGGGCCAGTTTATTTCTGTCGACTAACGTACATACGTACATTTGATCCGATCAATCGGCAGGAAAACCACGATACAATTGAATATGAGTAATTAGAAGAACGAGGCTTGAACATCTGGCTGACGATACAGTAATACAGTCAAGCGTAGGCTTTAGCGTATTGGATCAGATGAGATGGTAATTAGGGGATGGTAATTCTCTACATGATGTGCGTCATCAATCCAACATCACATACCAATAATGTTTCTGGTATACATACTATGTTAGGAAACGTTTATTTATTTGTGACAGTAACGAACAACGAGTTGAACATCAAAAGTTTATTCTGATTTGGTCGCAGTCGTACCTTCCAGAGATCGATGACTGTTCGAAGCCCTTGCAATTTCACTTGCTCACCGCCACGCTCCGTCCAGTGGCCTCATCTGAGATTAAAGAAGATTGTTCACGATTATTACAAGTTCCATATGTTTGAAAGGAAAATCATGATATAATATATTACCAAATCATGAACAAGGCTTATCGTCACCACTACTGAGGCCTTCTCCACGTATTGCTTGCTGCAGCGAGCCTAACGCGGCATCGGGTCCTAAAAAAATTCGCAACAGGTTCAGATTTCTGAAAAGAATGAATATGAGGAGTATATAAAATATATTTACCAATCTTCCATGACCATGTCTCCCACATTCCATCTTCTATCTATATCCAATACGCCAGAGGGGTGGAAAGCCATTTCTTTCAGCCTGCTTTGCGAGTAAAGAGCAAATGCAAAAAAATTATATTTTGGGTAAGGCAGCAGTTTAGGTGTTATTAAAAAATACCTATTATTATTATACAGTTATAGGTAAATTAACAAATCAGGCATTGTAACACGAATATTTGAATAATAAGTAATAAAAAATAAAGAGTGTGCAGATCGTAAGCTCAAAATAAGTGAATCGTTCTCCAACTCTGCCAATTCCAGTTTGATGGAGCAGGTAATGCATTGAGCGTAAAGTTCAAGTTAATGATATTAATATACAGTGTGTAACAAAAAATTTGACCTCTACACACATGGACTTTAAAAATGCATAGCTTCACAAGTAAATAAACAGATCATGTCCCAATTTTAATAAACAGTTATGCTACCCTTTTTGGTATAAAAACACTGTCTCAAACTCTTTGTTATCTTACTTTTATTATTATTATTTAAAAAAAACAGTCTAAACACACGTAAATACACAATGTTTAACAATCTTTCACTTTTGGAATCAATGAATGCATCACACAAAAAACTCCATCAAATAGCTGACCTCTATCAACCATCAAGTATAATATTTAGAAATAAAATCGGGGACTTTTTACGTAAAAAGGGTAATAACTAGCTTTATATTATTACTATTACTATTAATAAATCATCACTGTTAGACCATAATTAATGACAATGGTAAAAGAGTTAATTATTAATTTATAACAAAAATATATCAATAAAATCTTTAGCTTTCAGGCTTTCAAACAAGCTATTACTATTACTGTTGATTTAAGCAAACATCTGCAAAGTTATGGTAAAAGACAGAGGTTAAATTTTTGTTACACGTACCAAATGATTAGCGTATTTTTTTTCACTTACAATTTGAGGTTGTGAAAATTGTCCTGCAAAACATAAAAGCACTTATGCTATGTGGGATGTTACTCTAACAATTTTATTTGGGGGACTAGTTTATCGGCATCTTGTGGAACTTTAATTTGTGAATGTGGTTGGCCTGTACGTTATGTTCCCAGACCTGCAGCATACCGAAAATCTGCATAGAAATATCGGGGCTTAGCCAAATATTATCGGCGAGACGTAGCTAGTATTCGTTGACCGGAGACTATTGAGACTTGATAGCTATTATTAAAATTTATGTGTCACAGTTATGGATATAATAACAGCATTCCCATTTATAGTAAATAATGTCAAATTAACAGAATTTAACGCTTATAACTATGTTAAGATATTGATGTGCTGATGGGAAATTGGGGCAAAGGCTTTCTGGATCTTCATGTAGATCAACTTTTTCGTCACATCCAACTGTTCCCATGATCGATTTTCACGATAATGTACGTATACTATATCAATATTCTGCCGGTTATTATTAGACAATGTGTAACATTAATGTGTTAATAAATTCATGCTATTAAACCAAAGTACTGTATCTGTGTATATTTGAAAAAAGGGCAAACACCCTCTTGTACATATCACATTGATAAGCCACCGGTAAGAATGTGGGTGATCATATGATTGCTACCATAATAATTTGAGCAAAAAAAAACAAAAACGCAAGGTGTTCTCACAGCCCCACACGCAAAAAGCATTTGATACTAATACCAACAAAGTCTTTGCTCGGTTAAACGAATAGTAACTACGTATCTTTGCTGTTTGAACGAACAGTGACTCTATCTTCGCTCGGTTGGGAACTCCGTAATTTGATGTCGCACACAAGTATGTCACAGTTATTCATATAAGGAAAAGGCGTTGTGTAACTGACAATGAGGGTCAAAGAAGGGGAATTATTTATTGAAATCAAAATACAGTAAGAATTACGAAACGAGTTTAAATTATTCGAGGCGATATACGAGTCGTTTCTATAGAGAAAATAGTCGAAGGATTAAAGTTTATCGTTTTGGTGTGATAAAACTTCACGTTTTGGCATATGGGATCACACTGTGATAAGCAGCTTATTATATTAATATACAGTCGAGGCTTATTACCCTGTCGAACGATGGAGGAGTATTAATTACGCCATCATAAATTAGAATTTTAAAAACGAAAGCGCAAAAGTTTGTTACCGCATAAATTCATTCTCTGGCTTGCTGAAATTTAACAAACAAGATATAAGTATATCGAACGTATGAAAAGAGTAACATCAAAACAATAAAAAGTTATTTACTCACCATATCTATCATTTACAATACGGCTTAACGAGCCTATATGGCTACATTACCTGCTTCTCTCTCCAAGTCTATATAAACAATTTTTATTGGTACACAAGTACAGTATAATTTCAGTATCTGCTACTTCATATGTGGACAAAGCTTATTCTGATTAGGTTCTGATAAGTTATCGCATGAGTATTGGCGCTTTCCAGCGTTGTCATAATAATAATGTTTATTTATTACTACAAGTTTTAGACTATTTAAGATACATTTACAACGCTATCATCTTATGTATCAATAACAAAAGCGCACATGGCCATCATTAATAATCAGAAGAGTCAGTACCTACTTGTTTGGTTGGTAGCAAAAATACAAATTAGGTTTTATTCAAATACCGACGTTTCATGATAAGCATTGTTCTATAGATAGCAGAAACGTTGTTTATGTTTGTATAACATGCGCTCAACTATAAAGTTGTAATTATTAAAACTCGACTTATCAGATAAAAAAAAATGCGATATGCGCACTCAGCGTACGGTATGCCCAGTCCGATATGACCAGCCATAGAGAAGATTAGATGTTACAGGTCAAGTATAAGTGGCGATCATGTATTATATCCTGCATCATAAAATATGTCCTGAATGTTAGTTCACTATTAATAAATCAGTTGAAGTGGAAGTACACAGTTGAGTTGGTTGACTTGTAATCATAGAACAATCTTGTTTCATGCATTGAATAGTACATGTACGCTATCTGTGCAATCTTTGGTTACAAACACTGTTGCATTCATGAATCAAAATAAAGTCACCAGACACGCATACGCGTTATCTGGCATATACCCAATCCAAATGGACTAAGTACCCTAACCTAATACAGAATTTAGAATACCAGTGTTTATGTAAAAGATTACAAGAATAGAATAATAAACCTGTTTCTTGACGAGAATTTTTCTTATCTATTGGTTCGGAATGAAAACTTAGAATTACTAATCAATTTGCATATTCTGTGCAGAACTGATCTTATAATTTTGGAATACCCGTTTCCCTCTGTACCTCTTCAATAAACATGTTTAACGAATGAACAGATTTTCGACTTCATTTGTTTACAACGCCAAGAAATTGTTGATAGAGAAGATGCGTAATACGACAAAGAATGTTCTACAACAATTGCTTTCGTTTATTTATGGATTAACCGTTTACAGTATTTTTCAATGAATCAATAACAGGGTTGACTTTCTATAATTTTTGCAACATTAAGTAATTGTTGTTAGAGGAGATGTGTAATACAACAAAGAATATTCTACAATCATTGTTTATGGACCAACTTTTTACCGTATTTTCAAACAAGTTTGGCTCTCTACGGATGTTCTACAACAATTGTACGTACGTTTGCGTGTTAAAGTTATAATAAATATTATTTTGTCATTAAATAACTTGGATATTATTTGGCCTATT